AAATTTGCTAATGGGGGGCTTTTGAGAAACGGCCCCCCAGACTGTGTTTTGTGGTAAAATATCTAGAAAGCTGTTTGTGACCTTTTGTGAGGTGAATAATTGGAGGTGTTTTTTTAGTTGGGGGGTGGCCGGGGTAACTCTCAGTGCCTTGGGGGGTGGCCGGGGGGCAGAGTGTGGCTCAGCGGGTTCAGACGCTGCACCCATGACGGGAATGTCGGCAGAGTCATGTCACATTTAGGGCCCCCAGCAAGGCCCTTAACCCCCAGCTGCCCCAGGGACCGTCTGGCCCTGCTTTCTCTATTGAACGCCGCTTCGGGTAAAAGCGTTTACTAAACAAAGGTCATTTTTAAAAACGGCAAAGGAAGGCAGGGGGTTGCTTGTTATGACGAAAACAAACCTCTTAGTTTGTGTTGCCCGCTGACGCGGCGTAGTCTCGGCCTCAGCGGCCATAAGGGAAAGGCGGCGCTTCGGTTTCGTCAGCAGCGTCTCATGGCTGTCAGCTGTGGGCGATCGAAGGCTCCTGTTCTTTTTCAGCTTTCTGTGCCTGTGCTATGGGGGGGGGGGGTGTGCACAGAGCATGCTGTCTGTGCCGTGGGGTGTTCTGTGAAATTCCTGGTCCATCATTCATCACCTTTTTTCTCCTCGCCTCACATTATGCTGGGATCAGGCTTTGTAACACAATTCGTTTCTTTTCTCTCTCTTTTTCCCCTCCCATTTTTCAGTGGGGGGTGGTTCTGTTGATGCCGCTGGCCGGCTCTCCGCCTCTGGGACGTTCATTAATCTGAGACGGATAGGCTTGGAATCATCTCCCGCCTCCCTATTCGCAGTGGAATTGGTGCACGGGTCAGTACACATGCTCTGCTGGACCCAGTGAGTCCAGAACCAGAGCATTGTGTCCTGATGGCACGTTATGGCGCTGTAGGGCGCGGCGTGTCGTGGTGAAAGGGGCCCCACATGCCCACTAGCGTCTTTGAAAAAGGCGATTTGGGGAGTGTTATCCCTGGTGTGATCTCTGCGTGATGTCCACTCCCTCTTTCAGAGATGGGCAATATTTCAATTAAATGTATTTAAAATATGTATTTAATTACTTTTGAGTGTTTTGTAATTTGTATTTCGCTGGTGGACTTTTTTTTTTTTTGTCATTTTAAGAACCTTCATCACCAGGCTTACGGACTCTTAAATATAGCCTGTCACTGTCTTTGGCTAGATGCAGATAAATCACATGACACATCCTGTTGGACTCAACTTGCTCACTGTGAACTGTTTTCCCATGACCAGAAATCCAATGAAAGAAACTGCTTTGGTACTCTGTGCAAATTTCCTCAAGGTAAAGTATGTAGTAAGATATACTATCAGATGTTGCTTATTGAATGTCAGCATAGGACAGATAAACAGCGCGATTAGCAAACAGCAGTGCTGTACTCCAGAACTTTTAAATTGACTTGCTAGCCAGCTAGTCGCATTCTAGTTAATTTCAACAGGCATGCTCAGGCAGTGGCATCTTGTGGTTTGTCATATATGGAAGACTTCTTTAGCGATAAATCAGTCTAGCTACCTTTGTTCCTAAGGACAAAATGAATCTCTAGCAGCTCCATGTGGGCGTTTTTATAGCCAGTGAGCCTGTCTAAAAGGGAGAACAGTCTAGTGAACCTGACGTTGCATGTTAGCTGTACGCATCACAGCCACTGGTCCCATTTTTTTTGAGCATATATCTAAAAAACAGTTTCTTCTTTCGGTTTGTGCGTGTTTGGCATCGTGCTGTAACACAAACCGGGAAATTCACACCTTCTAGCAAGGGCGTAATGGTACTGAAATGAGACCAAAACGGCGAAACGAATGTTCATGATCTCATGTCGCGGTTCCAGAAGATGGAATCGCGATATTCCCCCCTCCCCGCCCCCCCCCCCCCTTGCTGCAGGTGCAGCCTGTTGAGCTTTTATTATGTTACTAATGTTGCAAAACTCAATTTTCATTTCACAGTTAACACTATTAAATACGTAAGTCACAATATTATTATTCTATTCGCAGTTATGGAAAGCTGTAAATTTTGTAAATAGTGTGGCACCTTAGAACACAAATTTAATCTGTTCCAGAAGGCTGGTCGAGTTGTGATTTGGTCGAGGTCCAAGTCAAATTTCCCCATAATAAATAATGTAAATGAATTTAATTTGTTCCAGACCCCCAAATGATTGCCTATTTAAACTTAACTACCTATCTAACTAATGATAAAAAAAAGCATTAACAATCAATATAAAACTAATTCACACATGAAAGAACACACATACAAATCAATGAACACGAGATAAATGACCATTTATTAGCACTTTACCTGTATTGAGGTTGGCTGACAGCAAACTGGAAGAGGCAGGTGGAGAGGAGGAGGGATGGAGGGGTTATTGTTTGGAAGGGGAGAGGCGTCTCGATCTGTACAAGGTTTAGTAAGTCTGTTTTGGTTTGGGGTGTTCCGAGTTTTCAGTCCAGTTGCAGTTAAATTTTCCTTGACTGACCCGTTCAAGATCTGTATTGGTAGAGTTGAACGCATTTCGACTCATATAAGTTTTAGCAAGAATGGTTGAGTTCCAAGATTTCGGTCAAGTCAAAAAAATTCAACGTATCCGTTCGACGTCCGAGTTGGTCGAGTAAAGAGGCATTCGAGTTCTAAGGTTCTACTTCGTTACACATTACTTGGGCTGTAATGGTATATGCATTTGTCGTGTACTGTTACTATACATGTATTTTTGCATTTTGAAATTACAAGTTACTTGCATTTTAATTAATACATTTTCTCACACCAATTTTGTATTTTATTTTGTTACATTTGATGAACAAGTATGTGTAATTTGGTACGGTATGTGTAAACAAATTACTTTTTGATGTATTTGTGCCCATCTCTGTGTTCTTTCTGCTTGTCTGATACACCGTTTTTGGGGTTGGGGTCATGTCCCAATTGTTGGTGGCTTTGAACATGAGCTTTCACTGATGATTTTGGGTCAGATGTGTCTGTAGCCTCTCCTCCTGTCCATCATCAGAAACTGTGGACCTGTTGGTCACGCTCAGCTACCTTTTTTGTTGTAGCTTTCTGTTTTTTTTTTATGTATATATAAATAAATCTTGGATCGATTTATGCTGCCTGAGAGACTGCTGTGGGTGGATGCCAGCATATGGCATGGCTGTCATCTGCGTGTGATTAAATATTCCTGGCCTCATTAAGGTCCTCTGGTTCATAGCCATACAGAAGAGGAAGTGCTGCACTGCTGTGTGTTGTGGGTGGAGGTTTCTGAGGTGTGCAGCCTGTGTGGGGTGATTGTAAATGGGGGGGGGGTTCATGGACCATGGTAGAAAGCACCTGGCCTCGGGCAGTAAATTGCCCAGGATGCGCTACATGAGCATTCTCCTGGCACTGCAGGTGGGCAGCTCAACCTTAGCACATGCCACATGTCCTGGTACCTCATGCGTTCCAGATTACAGACCTGCACTTCCTGTTTCTTAGCTGGACTGTAAGATAAAGATAATGGCAGCCAATCACCCCAGCTCCTTATGCCCGAATGTCAGCCATACTAGAGAGTGACGGGGGCTTGTGCTGCCATTAATTAATTCCCCCCCCCCCAAAGTGGGCGTATAGGAGGTTTTCTTTTTTTTTTTTTTACATCACGGGGGGGGGAGGTTTTGCTGTGGTCACAATCTCCCTGATGCTTTTGCTTCATAAATGAATCTGATTTATTTGATTTAATTTGGTTCAGTTGTAAAAAAAAATCTTGATTATTTTCTTATGCATGATTATGCTGTGTTTCTCTGTTCTCTGTATAAATGTGAATGTGTAGTCCAACCAATCCTTGAGCTCCGCCTGATAGCAAACAGCAACTCCCATAATGCTTTGGGTCTAGCTGTGGTTGACTGCATTTGTGGCGGGAGGAAAGAACAGATATTCACATAAATGTATGAGGGGGCGGGGGGGGAGAGAGAGGGAGGGTGCAGATAGAAGAGCGAAGAAGAGAAGTGAGTAACAACTTTTTTACTGAGACTGATGGAAAGCTCACAAGATAGTGGAATTTTGTGAATCTCTTTTCAGGTTACTGTGTAAATTGAGGATTTGTTTCTCAACTTTGTGAGAGAAATGAATTTAGCATTTTTCAAAATATATGATGAACTGAGTGAAAGAGCAGCTGTCCCACACTAATTCTGGGAAGTATGTTCACTTATCTTTACACCAGGACAGCAGAGTAGCTCTGGCACATTGACCCAGGGTAACAGTTTGGGGGTGTGAGCCCACAACCCCTGTCATGTGAGTGAGAAGCCCACTGGAGCAGCTTTGCGACACGGACATGGAGAGCCGGCAGCTGATTGGACAGCTAGATCATGTCGGGTGACCCCGACGGCTGCCCTGTCGCTCAGTTTGCCAAGACCTGTTCAGATTCTTGCATTCTTTCATCTCCCACTCAGACTAAGCCCACACGTCTTATCGGGCCGTCTCGTCGCCTGCGGGGTGCGTTCCTGTCCAAGCTGACATCACCTCTTTTCAGAGTGATCATTCCTTACCAGAAAGACAAGTGGACATTTAATGTTTCTCTTACACGGTTTTAGCAGGAGTTCATGCCATGTGTCGTGTGCTGAATCCCTCCACGTTAAGGTGCTGAGCCCAGGTGTGTCGGGCCTGTCGGACTGCTCTGCATGATGACAGGGCCCTGAGTCACTTCAGCAGAAATCAAAATAAAAGTCCTGCGCTGATCCTTCCAGTAGGTCCAGGTGTTGCTGCTGGATACCTTGTCCCAGGCTGCTCCGCCTCCCTCACCTCCCCCTCCCTCCCCCTCTCCTGCCCCAGCAACCCTCCATCACAACAAGCGCTCACCTGAATAAATTTGCATATTGGACCCGCCGAGGCCTGTGATTGGCCAAGCGTGGGAGTTTCTGGGCCCCCCCTCTGGGGCCTCTCCTCCAATGGCTTTTGGGCCTCTGACTCACTAAGAGAGTGCAAGTTGCTTCATCTGACTTCTCCATTTTTTTTTTTTAGATAGGCGACCTCAGCCACTGCCTGTTTCTCGTTTTTGTTTTATCTGATAGCACGGCAGAGGGAGAGGTCAGGTGCCGTCATTCCAGGCAGGGAATATGCCCTTTTGCTCAGCCTAGGCACACCCTGCTCTTCGAGGACTGGGCTCTCCGCTCTGCTACCTGTTCTGCCTTTTTTTTTTTCCTTATTTTTTTCCCTTGGCTCCCTGAACTCCACGTTCACGAGTTTCCGTTGTTTTTTTGTTTTAATTCCTCCCATTAACATGATGACCGAAACGAAGTCCGTGTTTCTCTGAGGTTAGTAATCTTCACATCTGCGTTTGGTTCCTTTACATGCTTGCTCATTTGCTAGTTTGAGGAACTTTAAAGTCGTTTATTGCTTGAACATAAACTAAGACCTGTAAAAAACTCGCTTTCTTTGGTCGGATAAGTAAAATTTTAGTTTTTTTTTTTGACATGAGGATTTTGAGTAAAATTATTATTTAGCCCGCTTTTGGATTTGGAATTGGAACAGATATGACTGAAGAGGGTAGGATGTGTTTTGCAGAAGTTAGCTGGGCAGGATCCGTTTCGGGGTATGACAGTATGCTTCGTTTTGAGTGTGAGGTGAAGTCAAAACAAGTGCGTTTGCTCTGTGTGAAATGGCAGTATTTTGGAAATGTGGTTCCCTGTCCGATCTGTACCTGCTCTCTCTCTGTGCTGACCCTGGGTCTGTGAGTTTGGAAGCAAATCGCGTGCAGAAATGTGACGATACCCAACTTGTATATCAGAGTGTTTGTTCCATCAAGACAAGATTTTTTTTTTTGTTTTTTTGTTTTTTTGTTTTTTTTGTGCGTGTGTGACTTGTTGCCTAATATGGGGTGTTTAAGCTGGGCGGGGCGCTCTATTTCGCAAGCCCCCTTGCTAAGCCTCGCTGGCGGTTTAGAGTGTCTTACGGTGTGGAGTTACAGGTAATTAGTTTTCACGGCACTTATGAGCCTCCCCAAGCCCATGCCGGGACACAGTCTGCGGCCACCGCATGCCGGGGTCGCTCTCGCAGTTGCTTGTTCACTTTCCGCGGACGCACTCGTCCCCCCGCCCTCCGTGGGCCGCAGTTTCGGGTTCGCTTATCGAGGGCCTCGGTGTCATTTTGGCGGGGGCTTGACGGGCGCCTGTTGTTTTCAAGGTCTGCCCTGCGCGGCATAACACAGCAGTACCGCATGACGGCCAGCGCCGCGCCGCGCCCTGCTCTGCCCCCAACCTTCCCGCTCACATTTGCATAATTTATGTCTCTGACACATTTATGGACACAAATGGACTTTGGTCTGGGCCACTGCGCCTTTTGAGAACATTGAAACCACTAACATCATTCCGAGGAGGCTGATTTTGGAAAATGGATAAGAATCGGATGAAAGAACGGGTATCCCGACATCGGAGATAAAAGCTTCCATCTGCTTTCCTGCTTTCTTCATCCTCTTTGATCTTTTTTTTTGTCAGGTTCAGTCCAGCCACTTTGTTGCCATGCCGGCTAGTGTGGTTTGAGTGCCTGAATTTCAGCCATTTTCACACGTGTAAGCATCAGGAAGGTGCCCTGGGCTTCCGCTTAATGCCGTCAGACTCGTTGCCTCATGCACGCTATCCCTGATTGCACGCTAACGAGTTTCTTACCCCCCCCCCCCGCTGCTCTTCTTGGTCTTCCCCTGTACAGAGTGGTACGCTGGTCTTTATAGTAATTAAAAAAGAAAAACAAGCCATAAAACTGACTGAAAGAATATTTCACTGGGAAAATAAAAGTATTTCTTGGCCATTTGAGATGACTAAGGAATACTGTTTTGGAGGGGGAGGGGGGGCAGTGTTTTATTCTCTGGTTGCCTGTCCTCAGCCAGTTAGGCCAGTCACTTGAGTTCATGCTCTTTTATGAGTATGTCCCTCTGTTGGTGTCATCATCTCCATGAGTGGGGGAATTCTGGACTTGGTTGCTAAACACCTGTGTGGCAGGGTTGGATCTACAATAAAGCTGCTGGAATGGACATTTTGGTTTGGGTTTAATTAGGGTCCATCAGTCACAAATATCCCAGAAGTGTGTGCTATCTCTGCTGGGTCGGGCTTTTGGGAAGCTTTTTGGAGCGATGAGCTTCAGACGAGTCTGCTTACGGTTCCTCATGCCTGACCTTCTCCCCATGCTCCTCAGTCTTGGGGGTGCGGGTCTGGTCACATGGTAATGCTGACAGGCAGGTTTTCCTACACGCTTCCCAGCCTGCTTACTCTTCTGCTTCATCCATCTTGTTTCTAAACCCCCCCCCACCAACCCAAGTCCCCCTTGTCTTTCATGCTCTATTTGCCCCACCATAGCTTGGGGGCACTAGCAGGTGTGTCTGCCTGAAGTCTAATTCCCTGTCTTCCTGCCCCCCCCCCTCCAAATTGCGACCCTGGTGTGTCTCCTGTTTATACCTCGTCCCCATTGAGATGCTGAATGAGATCAACGTTTTTCCTCCGTCAGCATGTTGGATGTCGGTGAAACAGGCAAAAAAATAATAAAAAGTTTAGCGTGAGGGCTCATGCTCATCTCGGAATGACTGGAAGGGAAGCACGTGGCCTGCTAGCTCTTCTCTGTCTTCCCTCCAGTTTCTCAGGCACCATGGACGGCCATTTTTTTTTTGTTGCTGGTTAATGTACACCGAGGTCATTTGCGTCTTTTTTTCATATGACCCTCGTCGTTTCCATGGGGAGCACGCTGGAAGCCTTCCCCCAGTCCCCCCCCCGTGGTGCCCTGTTAATCGTCCGGTGTGACGTTTTCGT